TAAAAAAAAAAAAAAAAAAAAAAAAAAATACCAAACCTACGACCCTGGGAAAACGCACCCTGTAATTTCGTTCCCTTTTGCCTTCCTCGCTGCGCTCTCTGTCTTCTGGAGGATTGCTCCGAATAATAGCGTATGCGTAAGGAGGGTAGCTGGGGGCGCGGAACGTGAACGTTTATTCATAGCCCGTTAAATCAGCGAGTCGCTTCGCGCGAGCGAATTTCTCCAGCGAGGTCGCAGTTAGTCGCGTTTACGGTGGTGAGTTTATGTCGTGGGACGAGGAGGGGGATGAGGAATGAGGAACGGGGGGAGGGGTGGCATGGCCGTGACGACCTTCGACCTCTCGAAATTCTCGAGAGGGAAGCACGCCAAGAGGGACGGAGATATTTTCTTTCTTTCTATAGAGTAGCGCGAGTACAGAAAGCAACCTCGTCTGGTTGTGCTTTCGTGTTCATTGTTTATCGTCCGTCTGTGCTTTCTTTCTCTCCCCGCCATTGCTCCTTCTCTCGCTTCCCTTATTTGCCTTCGTAAATCACTTGATGGAGCACTGCGCCGGGTACGAGACTCTCAAGGAGCCTCCGCTCTCTCTCTCTCTCTCTCTCTCTCTCTCTCTCTCTCTCTCTCTCTCTCTCTCCCGAATCAATGAATGGAGCACTTTGTGCGGCCTTCGCCGTTCGCGTTATTAATCGGCCTGGTCCACGTTATTCGAGCCCTATCCACCGGAACTACTGCCGAAGGATGCAAACCCTTGGAAGTGGATGTTCTGGCATGCGTATTTCAAAAGGCTCCTCCAAGGCCCTTGGGGCGCTTCCCTTGGAGTGACACCGGCAGTGCCGGCGCCGGTTGACAGGGTCCTTGGGTTTCAGGTGGTCCAGACGCAAGCCACAGGAGGATCGCTTCTTGCTCGCAAGGAACGTTTTCCTACTGCAGGCACCATCGCCAAGGCTTCCGGTAATCTGCAGAATGACGTGATGGAACTCCTAAGCAGAGTTACGTCGAGCGCACAAGAACCCCTCAGGAGCGGGTGCACCCTCTCGAGAATTTTAATTTCTCACTGGCCGCCCCTGAATACGTACAAAGATGAATTGTGGATTGTATTTCCATTTTGAGATCCTTTCTGACCTACAGAATCCCATTAGTCTGAGCAAAAGCACCTGCGCACATGTGCAGGTACCGCAGTTTTCCTTTGAAGACGCAGAACGAAACGGACGGACGGGCCGTAGCGTTGCGCTCACGGAAGTGGGAGGAGCTGCATCAAGGTAGTCCACGTGTCCATAACTTTTCGAAAGAATTGAGAAATTTCGTGATCTTTGATATCTCGCGGGAGGACTTGAGGATTTTCAAAAGAGAACCATGGTCGTAGCAGAAGCTGAAGCACCCTGATACCATGTTGCGTAATATTTCATGACATCGTGGAAAGAGTGTCGACGCCGATTGAATTTCTCTCTCTCGCTCTCTCCCCCCTTCGCGCCCCTTCTCGCCGCGTTACGTCCTCTGGGTGCCGCGCTTAAATGCAGGAAATTAGTTTGTGTACCGGGTGACGTCTATATATAGACACTTTCATTGGGTTCAATATCTGGCCCACCGAGCAGAAGGGGGACAAGCCGGCACGTCGGTAGCAAAAGGAAGACGCTTACTTTCAGGACTCACTTCTTCGTTCGCCTAATTAGACGATTAGACGATTAGACTCACACGCGCGTTATCGAGCGCTTGCGGATCCTGCTCGGCTCCTCGGGGGAGCCTGTGCGCTGCTTGGGAATTTTAAGGAACGGGAGACGCGGCGGCCCTGCGCGTCCTACGAGACGCTCAGCACAAAGACACGTCGTTCGCTCCTGCGAGTTCTGTCGGTTCGTTCGAGTCTCGGGAAATTCGGTGACCCGGGTCCAACGTCGACGAGCAGAAGGAGCCTGCTTCGGGAGACTCGATTGCATTTACGTCCAACAGCGCAGCCACAGGGTCATAGGATGTTGCGCGAGAAGGCAAATCGACTCGAGTAGAAGTTTGAGGAAGTTTTGCGGGCAGTTTTGGATCTCGCGAATGAGCAGGAGAATTTCCAGGTCTACCGGATCGATGATTCCGCTTCTCCCTTATTCTCTTTCTCTCCCTCTTCTCGTGCACTCGTTTCCCCTCTGACCCTCTTTCTCATCCCGCTCCGCCCAGGGTGCATCGAGCCGCCCCGGAAAGTGCCGAGAGAATCCGGCAGGCATCGTGCATCCATTTAATAAACAAACAAACCTTGTGTACGGGTGTACGGTGCGTGGCACCCTGACGTGCCTATAGCACCTTCGTGCACCTTCCTCTCGGGCCACACTTGATCCCTCCGAGACTCAGCAGCCTGCCAGCCCGCCAGCTTCCTAAGCTTCTCTTTGGCCTTCCAGCCATCCAGCGAGCATCCTCGCTCTGTTTTCGAACCTCCTAAGCCCCCGACTAGCAGTTCTTGGATCTCGTTCGAGTACGTATGGGTCCCACCGACAGGCTCCACACCAGCACTCGTCTACGGCGAACGACATACCCACGGGCAGGAACACGTGCGCGCGCGCGCGCTCGTTCGCAGCCGCCGTGGAATACAGAGTGAGCGAGCGAGCGAGCGAGCGAGCGAATCAGAGCAAGCGAGAGCAAAGAGCTTGCGCAAGTTTCGACCCGACGATCGGACGGCAGCCACGCTGAGCTTTCGTCCTGGCCGAGAGCATCGGGGTTGCCAGTCGAGTCCACGAGGCCGAACGCAACTGGACGCCCGTGACTCTTTATCTCGGAGCCCGAAGTCGCGCTTCAGGTCGAGTGGGCAAGTAAACATCGACGCGCATATAGCGCCAGTTCGGCTGTCCGACCGTGTCAAGACACGCGGCGCTCAGGATTGCGCAACGTAATCCGTACGAAGACGCGCGTCCACGTTCGGCGAGTGATTTTATATTTCCAGGAGGGCCTTTATTAACGCTCGTCATCTGATTTCGTTCGGGACTTCTGTGCGCTCGCTTTCCCACTCTGCTCACCGAATCAGGTTGGACACCTAGGATTCTCCTTTACATTTCTCCTGGAACCGATTTCCGTCTGAGCAACTTTAACTTCGATTGAAAAGAATTTTTTTTTTATTTTTCCTACGTGTCATCCAACGGATTATCGTGAATTAGCGAGTGAGCTGATCACAGTGAATGCACAAGAATTTCATAGAAAACAGTAAGCGATCAATGGCCCCTCATCAATTTTCCTGTAGTTTTCAATCAGCCTGTGTTTCTTGCAGTTTTCGCGTTTTCGTTTCCCCGTATGAAATCTGACTCTCTCTCTCTCTCTTATTGCGCGGTGCACCTTACAAACTATATTAATGCATGGCCAATCTTTAAAGGACCTTTCTATCGGTCCACTCTTAATTATGCAATACATGCTTTTTCAATAAACTCTACTGCCAAATATTTGTTTACCAAATGCAATGAGATCCTGCCAGAAATCCTGTCTCAAGGCATTTCTTAGTGCTGGATATTGATTAAAGGATTTCGGAGAAAAAATATATTTATTTGAAAGACACGCAAGATCGGGTGCAAAAGATCGCTGATCTTTCTCAAAGTAGTGTGGAAGAGCTGTAAGGAGGGAAGGAGGATGCTTTTGTCATTTTAAATTGCACTGGATAATTGGATATACATAGAGAGCTCGATCGAACTTTGCGACTATGGAAACGCTGGTGGCCATCTGGAGACTGAAAGATCAATTGACTTTCGGTTTTTGTTGTCCGTCTGCCGAGCGACGCAATTCGCCGCCGTGGGAAGCGAATGGCGCCAGTTGCAGGTCGCAACGCTCGATACGTCGATTCGTGTAAGAAGAATAACGTCGAGGATAAGTGGCCGGAATTGCATCGCTCCGTGAAATTTGTTCTGTGCGGTTCGATGGCTGACAAGACGTTCTTCCTTGGAAGGAGAAAATTTGAATTTGATCGTGAAAACGAGTCATTGAACGACGACAGTCGGTAGCAATGATTTTTGGCAGGATCGTCACTACTGGCTTCACCCTACAACCCTATAGCCTTCTGCACAGTTGCCATTCGTTCGTTCATCCGATTCAATTAAATTCAAGTAGCGCCAGCCCATTAATTAGTACCCGTTACGCGATCCGCCATTAATTGGAATCAATAGTTAGCGCCGTTTACAAAGTTTGCACCCTCCGATCGGAGCATTTTAACCGAGTGGATATTCGGTAGCTTCCCTGGATTCCCTAGCTGTTGTCCCAACGGTATCCCGTCTTTTGTCGTTCGCGAAAATTTCCGAAAACCTGATATTTCGAAGGTTTACAAACATCCTGTCTCCTCGGTGTGCTTCTCGTTGTTCGATAGAAGAGTTCCTTTTCATTTAATAAATATGGCCTTGAATTTTACAAGTTCTTTCCTTACTTCTGATTTGCTTTATCGCTTAAATTTTCAAAAAAATACAATTTAAAAGAACGTCCAGACATCCTAAGAAATTCAAGGGCGAGCCGTGAATGTTGTCGAAATTTGAATGTTGTAATTTTGAAAATGGAGCCCCTCAGCAAAAAGAGTCGACGCGTCCTCATCGGTTGACAGCAACTCGATGCACACTCGTCCGGGATTAAACCAATTAAAGGACGGGAGCCAGACAAAAAAAGCGTAGAGCGACTCGTTTTTACATTTAATTCAGGGAGGAAACTTTGAACAGTCTTTGAACAGTCAACGAGGCGAAATGCCATTGCTAAATGCGACGCTTCGTACGATTGTTGATGCTTCAGGGAATTAGAGAAATTCTCGTAAGGTTTGTGCACGAGAATTTCTACGCGACAACTAACAGTTTTAAATTTATCAGGTAAACGCGAAGCAAAGAACGGCTCTCTCTTCCCCCTTCTCTTTCTCTCTTTGTTTTTCTGGAACTCGGAGCAAGAGACTGCAGGACGTTTCACGGGAATGTAAACTCGACCCGAGCTGATCCAGCTTCCCTATGAATATGAAAAAGAGATCCTTTCTCTATAGCACAGAAGACACATCCCACGCGGGAACGAGTTTGCAGTTTGCACAGTGAGTTAGGTTAGGTTAGGTTAGGCAAATATCAATGGGACAAATGACGGTGGAGAGATGCGAGAAAAAGGAGATATGCGTAGGATCGAGGACAGCCATGGGAGGAGCGAGAGAGGATGAAAGGAAAGTCCCTCGCTCGCCATTGCCTCACTCTTTTCTCTCCTCTCCTTCCTTTCTCCCCCGTTCATTCATTTCCACCCTTCTGCGCGCAACGAGCGCGTGTCTAAAAGATTTTTCAAATTTTGTCTCCAGCGATGCACACGGACCGAATCAAATTCCGCGAAACTCTGGTATCTCGATCCGAGCGGAAATTATAAAAATGAAACGTGTGTTCTCGAATATGAAAAGTTGGGGTCAGTATTGGACGAAAAAAAATTGTAAATCAAAAATTTCAATCCCACGATGCGAGAGGACGTCGGAAGAAGATGGGCAAAAAAATATTGATCGACCATCCGAATTTTTCCGTTTTCCACGCAAATTACTGTGTCAAGAATCTCGAGATGTCCCGTCAGCCCATATTCTGTTAACTGTCATGCCACCGTGTCTCCAAGGGACTAAAGAGAAATTGTCGCGCAAGCAAAAACCCACCCTAACTTCAGCCGCCCCCATTGCTCCACGCTGTCGTTCAACCTCATCGGGGTAAGCAAGGAGCTTGTCGAATCGACCGTCCCGAACGAACTGACGAGTTTATCGCTCGAGTAAAACACGAGGATTCATTCTCGAAGGGTTGCTAACAAGTAAAAACCCTCAAGTCACCCCTGTGTACATGTAGCCCGCGTAAAAGAAATCTTCTGATCAATTCACAAGCCTTTCTATTCGAGGATACACGAATACGACGAACACGAGCACAGCCATCCCCTGTTGATTTGAACTCTTGTA